CAGATTTTCGAGATATGAAGTGGAAACTTCCCGAAACTGAAGTCTACGATCCTCATAGTACTAATGTTCTCAGGAATTTCAAATATATTATTATCTTATTCTCCAATTATATAAATTAGAAGTCAGTCCATCGCAAAAGTTCATTAAATCTTTCGGTAAAAACTTCAATTTTGAATAGATTAAAAATTTCGAAAATTTCAGGGTAGCGTCGACTTGAAATTCGAAAATCACTTGAAAGCACAATAAATTGACCGATTCGTCGCAATTTTCAGTTAAACAATTGCATTTGAATAATCAAAATTTCAAGTCAATAATTAATTTCCTACAAAATTCATTGTAATACCATAAAATCGATATTTAAATTGATCGAGATTCAATCTCTCGGATTTTCTTTCCCAAGGAACTTGCGGAATTTTTATAATAATAATTTTTATAATTTTTATAATAATTTATACTTCTTCACGTCAATCCTGCGAATAATTTGTCAGAAAATTGTAAGGAAATGCGAATTTTGGCTAAAAGGATGTCCTTAAATTATTCTGAAATTGAAAATCTTGGGAGGAAACGAATTTATGTTGTCCGGCAATAAACAGTGTCACTATCTAATCCCTCGAATCGTCACCGGGTAGGAAATGAAAATTTGTGCGGCCATCTGGGCACTTCTCCCCTCGTTCAATTCGTCGCCCCGTCTTCCACGTGTGCCCAAAAGTCTTTTTCCCCATCCACCTTTTACTTCAAGTCAGTTCCGTTCCCTTCCTCGTAGCATTTTTTTTTTCATCGTGTCTTTGGGTGTGCTACCTCCGGTCTTTACCCTCCTTCCTTCCTCCTTGCTGACGTCCGGGTGCCACCAAATCGTCGTGCAACAATAAACGAGGGTAAGGACCTATCGTATGTAGCCATTTTGTGATTGTTTGAAAATTACACTTGAAATTCCAATTCAAAATCTATTTTCAAATTGAAAAAACAAATTACATTTACATAAAATTGTTTTTTCCCCAATTTCCCAATTCCTCGATTTCATGTTTAAATCTCAAAATAAATTAGAAATGTAAATAATTATATTTAGATTTTAAATAATTTAAAATTCGCCTTCCTTATATAAATAAATTCGCAACTAGACAATTGTGAAGAGAAAGTTTCCCACTCAAAAAAAAATTTGTACTTGTCCCAAAAATGAGAATTTTTTCTTCACGACAAGGGAGACCTCAACGATCAATTCTAATCGAATAAATAAATAATAGTTTTGCCTAAATTTCTCTGAATATAGTAAAACTACAAGATTTCTCCAGAGCCCTTGAAACTGCTCCCCTCAGCCTCACCATCTCCGAGGGATCTTCATAATAATCTTCACCACATCTTCGCCATTGAATTCTCCCCTGATTCCCCACTGATCTCCATTTTCCCTTCACTGAGAAAATTCCCCTGATTGATGGGGATTTATCATCTGGCGTGTGGCTCAGTGCCGATTTTTATGAATGGAATAAAATTCTTCATTGAGAAAAATAAAGGAGTGATTCATCGTCACTCGATCCCCAGTTGCATCAACGGCGCCAAAGCCTCAGGGTCTTATCTCATTCTTCTTCTCACACTCTCTCTTTTTTTCCATTCCGTATTTGAGTTTGTGCTCAACGCGTGGGCGATCCAATCGCAAAAATTTACCAACGACTTCTGCATTGCATTCCCACGATCTTCGAGACTAGAGTACTATTTCCAGATCAAAACACAAGTTTGTTGATGTTTACGTTCTCTCAGAAATCCTTCAATAGCACTCCACTGACTATAAATTTAATTTGCCTTCCCCTCTTCCTGGGAATAATGGGAAGTGTGAGGTAATAAATCTATTGATCCTCGATAAGATTACAAGTTGCATCTGTGCACTCCCAGACTAATGCTCCTCAAACAGAATTATTGAAATATTACAGAAGATCATTCCGCGAAAATGATCGAGACGACCGTCTCCCCATAATAATTCTTCATATCCCCGAATTTCTAGAATTGAAGAAACCGTTTGAAAAGGTCGTTGTTTGTTGGATATCCTATCAAAAAGGGCATCTAATTTCCGGTCTCTACTCCTCCAGTCCTCAAGATAACGAACAACAAGTCATCCATCACTCCAACTAAATTCAAATCATGGACTAACTCAATTCCATCATTTCCACAGCTCCTCCAGCAATCTTCCCATCATCATAAACATTATTATCACAATTAAAACCTCGAGACTGGCTATCTGCAATCGGCAGAATATAAAGTACAGAAAATAAGTGAAAAAAAAAAAACGAAATAAAGAAAAACATGTACACGCACGTTTGAGACAAACGTATCAGCGTAGATCCACGAAGTGGAGGGTCAGGGTGTTCATGCAGCCCTTATACAAGACATCTGGCTACCACCTGCCCTGATACCCGCGCCCTTGCCTCGACTCTCGCTCTTCAACTTCTCTCTCTCACCAACTCGAGGAAAAAAAAAATGGAAAAAAAATTATAATTCCACAGCGTTAAATACACCGACGCTCATCCCTCTTGCTTTTTAAATTCACTAACACAAATGAGTCAAAATTGAAGGGGGGATAGAGTAAGAGAGAGTGCATCCACCTTTTCTGTATGGTAAAGAGGGGTGGTGAGGCCCTGGGTTACCATCATCCCCCCTTGCACCTCACCTTATGGCTACCATCACCCCTATTTTTTTTTTTATTTCGCTCTCTTTTTGGCATACATTTTATGTGCTCGGTTCCCATGACAAGTGCCACGTTAGTTTTCCGTGTGAATCTTTAATTCAACCCCCGTGGGAATAACCAATGGAGATTAATGCAGGGTGAGCTGAACTTTTTTTTTTATTCTAATGGTCTGACCAAGTGGTCATTCCATCGGAATTTGGAGCACGAGAAACGCCCACTGATGGTTTTTTATGACAAATTACTAATTTTTTGACGGATAACACTAATTGGTTTTTGGGGGGTGGGTTTTTAGGGGATCATGATATTTCGATTAGGGAAAAAAGGGAAAGTGAGGGGAGTGAGGAGAGTGAGGTCATCTGTTGGGTTTATTGGAGATAATTGTTTGTCGTTGATTCAGTTGAATGCATTCGAGGGCTGAAAATTGGCGAAATTTTTTGGCCTCCATTCAAATAAGGGTGATGTGAGTCTATTCAGCTCTTCACAACCTCTCTAATTTTTTAGAATCTGTAGAACTGAAAAGTATGTACCAATAAAGCCCCCGGAGCAGATGCATGCAATCAGGCTTCTTCTCAATGGTACGTCTACCGAGACCAGTCTGGTAGCAACCCCCGGGGTTTTAAAATAAATTCTCTGTTTTCACTCGTCTTTTCTCCCCTCCCCCTCTCTTCTCGCCCTTCTGAGGAGCCCCAGACGTCTTGGAGGGCGAAAAAAAAAGTACCCCTTTGTACAAATTTGCAATTTGGCATTTAAGTCTACTCACTTCCCCTCATATGGCCACTACATGTGAAAACGAGGTCGCAGCTGGCTACCTATCAGTGTCTTTCATTTTTCATTTTTTCAAAATATCAATGGAACAAAACATCCCCCGAATAATCTTCAACAACATTTATCGGAACAAAAAAATGAAATCAAAATAATCCAGAATTCTTTTTTATTTCTAATCCTTAACGAACTAAAATAAATTCAAATTTCTTTCGGCAGTTATAATTAGCTGTAATTAAATGAGCTTGCAATTATCCAATATGTTTACGCACGGACATAAATACTTCGAGAACAAAAATACAGCATATAGAATTCTTTTTTTTTGTATTTACTGCAGAGTACCTCATCCCCTGAATAAATAAATATTAAAAAAAAAATGCAAAATGCCCTCTCACCCTCATGGGCAAAATTGTAAAAAAAATATATATATAACACTGGACGATTGCATGGAAAAAATATGTAATTATATATTTTCCCCATGATCTGTCTGTGTCGAGGGAAAAATTGACGAATGGTGGGATTTGATATTCGAGTAAACTACGATTTCCTAAAAAAATGTCATTGACACTCCGAGAATTCCCATAATTAGAAAAGGTGGCATTCTCGGCGGTGCCGCCTTGATTCGGCAAAAGGTATGCTAATACCACCTGAAAAAAGGTGCCCAGTGGTTCTCTTATCCCGAGTTAAAGATCCCCATTCACTAAAAATAAATGTCCCAAACGAGAAAAAAAGATATTCACATTCTTAAATTCCCAACGAAAAGAAAGAACAGACCAGAACAGGTAAAACACTTGCGGTTAAACCGGATTAAAACCCAGAGCTGAGGATCATTTTCAGTTTGGCAAAAGGTTTCCCAGGAAATCCTACAAAAGATACGTGAAAAATAAACATCTTCTTTAGTCCCTTCTTTTATCTGAATCTTTGGTCTCAATCTCTCAATGTACCTCCCAAGGTTCACTCTGTACTCAATAAATTACTCAAACAAGTGCTAACTGATTCATCCCAGCGGTACTAACGCAACTTACGATTGCGATAATATCCGCATTCTCCTGATATATTTTATATCACTATCAACTTCCGGTGGAGTTTAATTGAAAGTACAACGATAAAATCACAACAAGGCAAATAACAAACTATAAATATCACCCAGAAAATTAATCCTTCAGCTTTCAATAAACAAATTGACGCAGACTAATAATCCACTGGAATTAAACTAAATTTTCTTGCGGAAAATTTCATCATACAAAAAAACTAGTCTGCCATTTTCTCCTCCAACTACTCATTCCACATTTCCATAATTAAACATCCTCTCCTTTTGAATTTCTCCTGAACCCTTCAATCTCCTCAAATCTCTTCAAATCTCTTCAAACTCCCTGACAATTCCAATTAACTTCCCACGTGTTCCCTAAACAAACAACAAATAAAAAAGAAGTGAAAACCAAAAAAAAAAAAAACGTGGGAACGCACACCTCCACTGTAAACAATCGAAAAATGTTGAATCCTCCGAGAATTACCAAAATAAAATCCAACGAAATAATCAAATGATGATAAATGAATGACTTACGCCTCAGTAGGTGGTGGTGAATAAAAAGTCGAATGATAATTGGCAATATCCACAGACTTAGCAGGCACAAGCATATCCCCAGGTAATCTCTCCATCTCGTTGAATAATCAGCTCTCAACAAACAACTGATAACTCAGGTCCTCGATCTACACTATATCCATGATGTCAGGACTGCACCAGCCACTTGATTGTGTCATAACACATTCCACTGCTCCCATTAAAACAACTCGATCTCAACGCTGCGACATTAAATCCAGTAAAAATATCAGATGACACTCGTTACCATTGACTTTATCCTGTAGCCCTTGTACTCCGGAATGATAACGAATGCTTCCTGTGACCGGCGTACACTATCGATTCCTCTCGTCTCGACTACTCTCGCCCTTTATTATTTTTTGTTTGTTTCCACCTCGAGAGGCGTCGCTGGAGCCTCGATTATATGCGCTTGCGTACTTCCACACAAGTACCGAGAAATTTGAAAAATATTAACAACGAGGATTTGTCAAATACATGGGATGGAGACGTGTTATGGAGACCCCGAGGATTTAAATGACGAGGAAATGGGGAAGGGAGGAAAGAGAATTGGAGTGTCGCGAGTGGTTTGGACGCTCGCTCGGTTGAAACTAAGGGTACAGCAGAGAAAAGAGGAAAAAGAGGCGGCATCGAGGCATTTTGTGTTACATGGGGATTTGATGTTGTGTGTGTGAACACGAGGGTCTGGACTTGGGTAGGGGACCCACCGCGTGGGGAATGGCAATGGGGATCTGCCCCAGGATGGAAAAAAAGGGAGGAAGTGGGGGACTCGGGGTTCTCCCTCAATTTTGCCACTGCCGGAGATTCACGAGGTTGCACGATTTTATGGAGGGATGTTGTCGTGGCTGTCGAGGCTCTCGAGGCCGATGTGGCCGCCATTAAATACAGAACTGGAGGGAAATCCACCCCTTCGGGAATCGATGTGAACACCGTGTGCTGGGGACGCATGTTACGACCTGAACATCATTATTACCCATTCCCAGATTATGCTCATTGGAGAATATACTATTTTTTTTTTGAGAATTCAATGTTCGGTGGAGGAATGTCATGGATATCTAACTCTAGTCATGGGAATCTACAATTTGGTGAGGGTTAATACAGATGTTTTCGAAGTTTCTGAGAATTTCTTCAATACTCGACAAACTAAATTTTTATTCACAATTTTTGCAAATTGTTCAAGCCGCTTTGCTATTATAAATTTTTTTAATTGTAGTTTTTACTTTTATGGAGAGCCATTTTGGAAATGGGATTTTGCATAGGAAAATTATATTTTTTATTTCGCAAAATGTTTTCCATTGGTTATTATTATTATTATTCATCACTGAATGATTCTTAAGGAACAGAGCGTGGAGAAGTTTGAAAATTGTTTCGTCGAATTAGCTTGAGGTTTCTTTGCAAGAAATAGAAGGACCTACGCTCAGTATTTTGCCACTTTCTGTAAATCTTACGCGCAGAATAGAATTTTCCCTCCCGGGCTCTGATTTCAACAGTTTTTCTCGATCTCCAGCAGCGCAGGAGACAACTGAGGAGAGTTCACTAAATTTTTTGCCTCCAAGAGACGAGGAAAAAGTTTACTGTCGTAAATAATGTAACTGCTGGTCATTTCTAGTATACCTTGTAAATAGATTTTTTGCCCTCTTCCTTACGCCGAATTCGGTAATTCTTTTATAATCGAGGGTTGTAGGAGGTTCACCCGGGTTTTCTGTCAAAAGTACCCAACTTCTCCTTGGAGAAAAAAAGGGTTTATTGTTGATAATTCGTAACTTCCGGTCGTTTTGAGTCTTTAAATAATTTGTTCCTCTCGCAGTTTGGGGTATTTAATATCTGGCAATATCCTGGAATGCCTGAGGGTGTGAATAATATTTCACCGCGGTCTTCGTTGCAAATTCAGGGATTTTATGAGAAAAATAAAGTTTCCTCCGGTTACTTTGTTATTCCTTGCGATTTTCAGACTTTTAATCATTCTTTTTTGGCTGTTTTGAGCTCATAAAGTTTTTATTCTTCTTGAGAGAGGGTGGGGCACAGTAAATCCTCTGGGAATTTTTTAATGGTCGGAAGCTTCTCTTAAGGGAGTGCATGAAAGAGAAAGAGAGATGAATTTTCCACTTCACCATTATAATACTTCACTGGTCCACATATTCTTTGAATAATTTTCCTTTGTGGTCTTTCGAATTCTCTCACTCTCTTCCGTTCGAGACAACTTTCGTCTTTTTGATTTCTTAAACTTGTTATCATTTGTAATTGTCTGGTTTAATTTTTTTCGTTCATTGATTCCCTCCGATCCATATTCTACAGGAAAGACAAATTAATTATTGCTAGCTTTTCATTCTTCGTCATTCTTATTATTTAAATAATTCTGATCTCTCCTGTCTCTAACCTTGTCGAAAGAGGGTCATAAAAAAAGTTTACTGGGGGTTTTCTCAAGGCTTCAAGACCATTTTATGGCGCCGAGAGACTTTACCCCAGGAAAGTTTCTCCATTGTCATCTTGTAACTTTTAATCCTCATTCATGAAATATAATTTTTCCATTTTGTTACTTCGAGTAACTCAAATTTGTTCAGACTTCTTCAGATTAAATGCGTCAGTTCATTTTAAAAAATTTATTTCAAAGCTATTCTCAGATCTGCAGAAGTATTTATTATTGTCTATTATTACTCTCAAACTTCTGTGTAATTTTTATCCATAAAGCCATTTTTTTTTTCACTCTTTCAAGCTCTTAATTTTTTTAACCTTCTGCAGATGATGAAGATTCAGGAGATTTTAAAGCTTTGAAGAGACTGTTTCAACGTGTGAGAGGAGTTCACTCTGTTGTTACTGGGGAGATAAAAAACGAGGGAATGAAAGGAGAAAGAAGGTGAAAAAAAATATTGAGCTCTGCTTTTTCTCTCATTCTCAACTCTTGTGCTCGGCTCCACGACCTCGTCCACTCGGTTTCTGCCAGAGTTTTATTTATAATCCCAGAAAACAACCGGTGAACTGCATCCACGAATAGTTCCGCGACGCATACTCAATGCACCCTGAGGTATTGAAGTTTAAATGTAGAAGATAACTTCAAGGAGTTATTACCGATATCTCCTCATTTTATGTTTGTGGTAAATTTCTGTGAACCGCGAATTGGATTCACATGGAAAAATATACCTTTTTTTGATTTTAAGAATTTTAGGAATATTGAATGACTCACAGATTTTCATAGTCGTGTATTTTGCCAAAATTTGGAAGTTTTTGCGAATGTTTACTGAAAACGTACGAAAATTCGTGGTTTTCTGATAAAACTTAAGAACAGAATATTTTTTCACGTCAATTTTATCAATGGTTTCTTAAAAATTTGTTAAAAAAATTGAAAAATGAAAAAATATTGCGATAACACCTCAAATGTGTCTCATTAATTCAACTCCATTAAAAAAAGTTGCCACAATCTGTTTTTCAGTCTGAATTAATTAAAGATCAATATCTATTGATTATCATTATCTATTGATTCTTGCGAAATTTCCTTCTCGATTTGCCTGAAGATTTTTTCAAATTCTTTCGCTAAGCGGGAGAGTGCGGCCGCGTGTGGTCTCGAAAAGAAAAAAATAAAACTTAAAAGCAAAAACGAAAATAATAATTCTCTGCTGTTCTGGTGGGTTCAACTCTCGAGACTTTCAAGTAGGGGGCAATGGAGAAAACAAGAGAAGTACACGAGGGAGAACCAGGGCGATCCGTGTAATTTGGCCGCAATTCGACGTACAACTCTCTATTGGTGGGTGAAAAAAATATTAGCAAAACAGAAATGAATTCCCCACCTCCGATCATTCCGTATTTTCAAATATTTTTTCTTCAAACCTCCCAACTACTCGTTATCTTCCTGTTTTTTAAGTGTTCGTTAGCAATTAATTAGCGTTAATGCGTGACTCAGGGGGGAGCAGATGTCTCGTCATTTATCTCATCAAAATGAATGGAAAAGGCATTTACAATGGAAGTACCAGCTTGTGTGAAAAATATCCTGAAATTTTCAGTTCCTAATTTTTCGAGAGCACCTTTTTACCGCTTCAAAAATTAATATTTCCCGTGCACCCCCAACAGTTCATCAACAAAAAAATATTCAGCTAATCTTTAATTAATTATTCCTCCAATCAATCACAAATAGTTAGAGTAATTGGATGCCACGATAGATGACAGATGATTTCATCTGAGAATTTGCATGCAATAAATAAAAATGTTCTTGCGAAAGTTCAAGAATTAAATGCCCAGTTGAACAGGAGGGAATTCCCACCTCATTCTGTCCCATCGCAGTCTAAACAAAATTTTTTCACTGTCCTCTTTCCCCTACCTCATCACCGCGAGTTTTTTCCCCACCCAAAACAGAGGAGCCATTGAGAAGACCATCGAATTCTCAGAACCCTCGCAAAATCTCTCACACATTGAAAAATCTTAAATGTATGTGCGTAAATGGACGCCACTGGTCCGACATCCGCAAGATTCCTGCATACCATTATATACAATCGACCAATACATTACTCCAAAAAGTGGAAAATCGCCAATATATACATTATATACTACATAGGTCCAGCAATAAATAATCAAATTTTACTTTTCATTAATTATTTATACTGTACCACCCCACCACACATTCAATTTTATTGACAATTATAATTATATGTAATAATATCATTGCATTATTATTATATAATTATAAATAAATTGAATAGGTCTCTCCGCAATAAATTGCTGATTCAGTAATAATTAATTCATTAATCACCAATTCATTAAATAAAGTGTGTCTAATTGTCTCTTGTAAAACTCTCCAGTTGTTTGTCAATCTTCATTTTCTTCATTATTACTCCACGATTTTGATTTCAGGTTTTTAAATTTAAGAAAAATGACAGCAACTTCAATTTCAAGTGATATTTTCAATTATGGTAATGTGGGGAAATTAGGAAAATTATTAATTGCACATCCGGCAACTATTGAGAATTCATAAAATAATTATTAGGATAAACTTGGAAATTCAAGGTATCATTGACTGGATGAGGTGAATTTCCTTGAATTTCTGAGGAAACCTAGAAATTCTAAGAACGATTTGATTCTAATTCAATTCAAATTCACAGCATGAAGATTCGTACGCCGCGGCTGTCTTAATTTGAATAAAATTCTCATACTATATTTCCAGAGGCTGTTACAAGAATTTTCAATTGGCACCTCACAAATTTTCTCAACTCAATTCAATAAACCACTGAAACTCAATTTAATTTCAACTCGTCAATGACTTTTTCCCTTCTCCCTTCTATTTCGGTTGCAGAATGGTACACCAGGAGAGATGCATTTTTTTCTAGAATCAATTTCCCGAGATTATCTCGCTACCGAAGAAAAATATCGACATTCACATGAATACCTTTTTTGTAGCTCTTACATTTCTCTACAAAAAATATATTAACAAAAATATCGGTATGTTCTCTCAATTCTGAGATATCGGTTGAAACCTGTTGAATATGCATCCACCAAAGTTTCTCACGTCTTAAATGATTTCGTCATCTCATCTGGTGTTTTTCTAGTCGCATCAACTTTTCTCCTGCTGATTGATATTCCCATCGATAGGAAGGACAGGCGATTTAATGATTTCCCAACGACATAATCCATCTCAAAGAGCCGAGAGAGGATGGACAGTCCAACAGCCAAAAAGTCAAGCTCTCGCCATCCGGCGTGAAGAATAAACTACAGACACTGCTGTTTGCCTGGAGTAACCCATAAAACTATGGGCAGCTGGTCTCTAATACCCATCACCATATCACACATTACGGTTCCTCGCATTTGTTTGGCTCGTGTCATCCTGCGTTGTACATATCTCCCGGTTTTCTCTCGTGTGTTGCTATGCGGCAACTCTTGACGTCACCCTGTCTCTATCTCAGACCCAAAGGGGCAATTGAATATTTGATAAAGTGTTCATCCAACGTTTCATTTTTATTCGACCACCCGTTTAGCCCTGTGACACGTCCACTGACAACTTAAAAACTCAAAGAAAAAAAATCAAATTTATTATCTAATCAACATTAATTTCTCGCTAAAGCCTCGCAACTAATTTTGCGTTTTTTTTACATTTTTCTGGCGAATCATCGATGGAATTGACCTGAAAGAATATAATATTCTTTCCTTTTTCCATAATTTAATTTAATTTAATCACAAAATTTTTTCCCCCCAAATTTTTTGATTGATTGATTCTTTTTAGTTTAGGAGAAACTCAGGAAAATATTCGTACCACTTTGAAACTTCTCGAGCCATTAAATAAACGCAAAAACGTCATATTTTTCCACGTGAATTCTGGAGGAGAGGGTGTTGGAACATCCTGAAGAGATGCCTTTGTCCCTGTGATTAATCAACGGTCTTCCAGTCCAGCGTGTAATAAGATAGCCGGGGTTATGGATTTCGGGATATTTTGTTACCACTTGGGGATTTTTGGGGAGAACGCGGGTAAAGGGATAGGTGGCACGCTACCCTTATGGTGGAGATCGTAAGCACCGGGATATTCTAGCTGGTGATACTGGATATCGTTGAGGAGACAATGGCAGGGGTTTTCGCAGATTTGCATGTTCGCGTAGACGATGTTATGGAAAAAACGAGGGAAAAAAATCTGATTGGGATCTGATTGGGATCTGACTAAGACATGAATCAATTTTTTTTTTAAATCGGTAAGGCCCAAATGGCCAAGAGACCAAATGTCTTCTTCACGTCATCGCGAGGTCGCGCGTCCTCAGCAGCTGTTGAGCACGCGCTCCCGCCTCTTGCCACTGGTGTCTACGATTTTCCAAGGATCTTTCCCCTTATTACATATTTTTGGGGTAGATGGCCGCCGGATGTGCATACACAGACTATTGAAAGGAGATGCAACGAGGCAAAGAGGTGGAGAAGAAGTGAAAAGAAGACGCACCGGTGGGTTCCTTAGGGTGCCACGTGTCTTGCCACCTGTCCCGGATAGCGTATCATTCGATTGACGATGACTGGGAAAATTTTTGAAATATTCCAGTTTTTCAAACAAAATTCACGTTTTTTCAAATTTTTTTCGAGGGAATTTGCGATCGGATTTACGCGATTTATTAAAAATAATATAGGGTAGTGTAATGCATACCCAAGAAATTCTAAAAAAAGAAATTTTAATTTCGTTATGTAAATTCTTTTTTTAATATTTCAGAATAAAATGGGTGCTTGATGAATTGGGCAAGATAATGAATGATAAATCACTCGAAAAATGTTAGGGACGAATTGTTGTTTTATTCGCACTTGAAAGTGTTTTACATCTGTTCTCAAATCAAATTTGTATGGAAATTAAATTAATCGGGTAACTCAGAAATAAATGGCACATTGTCGGACTAGTGTGTAAAATGAAAATTATTCGCTCACGCGAAATGAACATTTTTGGGCATTTCAATAAATGTAGGCTGGAGAATTGAGGTTTTTGCTTCGCTTTGCTCCAGAGATTGAGAGAATAATATTTTTAATTGCGGCAAGGATCTTAATCGTCGTTTACAGACTAATCGATTGATTTAAAGAGACCAACGATGTTTATTTTGTCATCTGTGAGTCTTCGATTTTCATTGATATCAGAAAATTCTAAATAAGTATTTATTGACTCATTTTGAGATTCCCTGGTTCCAGAATTGGCAGTGGATTACGCGGAATCGGGAGATTTAATCCTCTGCAAGATAATATCGAAATCATTCGAATAAAATCATCGAGATACCTCACGAAATGTCAGTTTTTTAATAACATTTCCGCAGTTTGTTGAATATCGTCCTACATTTTCTACTATTCATAAGACCAATATTAAAATGAGAACGATTAAAAAATCGAGAGTCACCTGCGAAAAAACTGTCATTCCTAGAGAATTTCACCTCATCCTCTTATTAATTTTAAATCAAAATCTGGGACTTGAATATCTCAAACTTTATTTTCAACGCAATGTCAGATAATTCAGGAGGAATTTTTCAATGCCATTGAATGGATAGCATTAATTAAATCGGCAAGACTAAGCAATGAAATAAATGAAATTAACAGAAAGAATTAAGAAAAAATCCATCGGTTTTAGTGGCATTAACGTATGTCAGTTTTTTATTTCGTCATGCAGAGATGACTGAGTTCACAAGAATGTAAACAAAGAAACACGTTTTCCCGCGCTTTTGATTCATGGAATCCCCGGCATATGTCTCGATAAACTCTTACCTTTTTGTCTGCTTTTTCGTATTTTTCCTTGTCTTCCGTAATTTCTTGGGTTTCACTGTCTTTTTCTCCACGACTGCATCATTCAACAGCCAATGAGTAAAATATTCCATGACAATAGCCTTTAATTATCACTCTGTGTCAACAACAACAAGAACTGATTAGTTGATTTGAAGAATTATTCATACAGGAATTAGCCGAACTGATGACTAGGACTGAATCGCCTTAATAGCTTATATTCTTTGAAATAAATCACTATTTACTGGGAATTAATCGACAATCACGTGTTTATTTTGGGGAATGGAGGGAAATGACAGGAGTTCCGAATCTCAAGGATGAAAACAAAGAATTTCTAAGAGATTACTAATTCCGCATTAAGGCGACATCTCGCGACAATTAAAATCATGAAAGATCGATTCGTATGCAATTTTTTTAACATTTCGCTATTTTTTCATACACGTGTGAAAATAATTGTTTAACAACCATGAGTAGTAATAAACAAATTCATAATTCTGATGGATCGAATCAATTTTGAAATCTGTATAAATGCAATTGAGTAATCACTTAATTTAGGATTTGGCGCTTAACGAGTGAATCCACATTTATAATTTGTAAACAATATAATTCACTTTCACCCCTCGATAATTAATTGCAAGTGCCCATGAACATAAACAAATGACAAACGGCTCCCCCTCCAGTCGGCAAGTGCTCTCTCGTCCGGCCGTGTAAATTTCCCGCCAAAATGAGGAAAGACGGTTTTTGGAGTTGCTGATAAACTATTTATTCTCAAGGAAAATTATTCATGCTTCAATTATTGAAGTTGTAAGAAGTCAACATGAAGTTCAGGTGCAAAATGACTGACAGCCTTGCTATGAGGGATTTCACGAGTGAGTTGGATTTATAACCTTCGAAATAATTGAAAAAAAAATTGGAGCAATAGTTTTTTTTTAGCTTTTTATAATTCAGAGCAATTCTGAATAATCACCCGAATTCAAATTTCCATTGTCAATAATCAATTATATTTTCTTCCACTAATTAAAGTTATTTCACACTCTGGATGAATATTTTTTTGATATTGCTTTTAAAAATCATGAAAAGTCGTCAATTTTTACGGTCACCTGTTGATAGTAATTTATTTATTTCAGATATTATCGGTGCAATAGCGAAAATGTCAAAATTCTGCGTTCTTCAACTCACCCCGACCGACGTCTGTTTCACAGTTTTCGATGAGAGACAACCAGTCGTGTGGGCAGAACTATCTAGAGATCATTTTTTCAGTGAGTACCTGGTGGAAGGCATATCCTCAGAGAATAAGATTTACCTGGAGTTCGATGCTGTCATGCTGTCGAAATCGATGACCTCCCTGAAGCAAACTGCCACGAGTGTGAAGATCAAGTTGACAAATAAGCAACAGCCGTGTTTAACGCTGGAGATTGAGTTACCCTCAGCAAGTTCTGATTCCTGGCAGTGTGTCCATGATGTCCCCATCAAGATGGTGGCAAGAAAAGAATGGCCTAGTTATAATCCACCAGATATACCCACTTTTCACGTAATGTTACATTTATTATTTCGATATTTTTCCTATCCTCATGGTGGCGAGTCATTGTAAAACAATTTAATATAATTTCTATTCTTCATCTTCTCTTTAAAATCTCGTGCCTTTGGCTTCGGTAAATGTTAAGAATTTGTGCCAAAATATCATGGACTACAAAAAAAATTAACATTTTGTTAAAAACAAATGAGATAGTTAAAAAAAAATTATAAATGAAATTTATCCTCCAGATCGATTATCTCGATTATCGATTCTATAACTTTAGGAGAATATTGATTGTTTCAGATATCATTAGCTCTCCCTCAATTGAAGCACCTGAAGAACGTAGCAGAGAAGATGAAGAACTTGAGCCCTATGCTGTCGTTGTACGCCAGTAATGATGGGATGTTGATTCTAAAAATCGAGACAGAGTCTGCATGTGTTTCCACCCACTTCCCTGGTCTCTACGTTTACAATGAGATTGAGATAGAGGAGGAAAGGATCTCAGTGACCGTTGATGTGAAAAAATTCATAATGTTCCTCGCGTGGGAATCTGTTCATCCAGAAACCGTGAAGTGCAGTATTCGTCAAGATACACTGGTGTATCTACACTTGAATCTCAATGATAATTTCAAGATTCACTATTTTTTACCCGCTACTGTATTATAAACTGTGCATCCTCACAGATAGATATTTAAGACTTATTTATAATTTTGTAAAGAAAAATTTTCAATATGGAATTGTCTCAATGTAAAAGGATATATGAATTGATTCGATTCATTTAGAAATTCAGTTTTGAATAAATGACTTGAAAAGTTTCAGACGTTTCATACAAATTATTTTTCGATATTGTCGCAACGAAATTGCGCATATTTTTTTTAATCTACAAATTTATTTAATAGGGTTAATGAAACAATGATTTCTTGAAAAGTTTATTACGATTAATTCCTGAAAATCCCACCTAAATCGGAGTATCAACAATAACAACTTAATTGTAAGCAAGATTGAAGCTCCTCTCGTTCTCCTTTCTGAAGTTCTGATGCATCTGATCAATCTGCTGTATCTTCTGTCCCAGTATTTCCGTTCTCTGATCCAACCACTGGAGACTATTCATATGAGCGTTAAGAATTTTTCCAATCTGTACAATTGGGTCACTAGAATCCTGTGCCCGATTGGCCTCATTCAGATGCTCGATGATCTCCTTCAAATCCTCAGACATCTGCTTCAACTGTGTATCTAGATTCTCCGCGAGATTGTAAGTGTACTCTCTCTCTGGATCTGACACCGATATGGATGCCATTTCCTTCTCGAGAGGAACAAGACAATCCTGGAGTTCTTTCTGTTGACCAACGACGTAATCCAACTCCTGCTCCAACTGCAGCTGCTCTGTTTTCACTCTTTCTATTTCTTCGTTCAGAGTTACGATCTTTTCACCATTGGCAATGAGGAGTTTGTCCCAAGAGTTGACTTGAGTTGCCTGATTGACGAATGATTTTTCCTGCTCCTCGAGCTCGAGGGTCCATTTGTTAATTGCTTCCTCAAGCTGGCAGAAATTCATTCCACCAGTTGCTGCAGCACCTGTTGACGACGTTACCGTTGTAATGCTCCCCAAGGATACTTGCTGTGTGCTCGTGCTTGTCACTGCAGCAGTGCTTGTAGGTGCAGTGGTCTTTCCCAAGGAGAAACTTGTAGCCAACGTGGGAGCAGTGCTACTTAGGCTAAACCCAGTGCTAGCAGTCGATGTAATCCCTGGAAGGCTGAATCCAAGTGAAGAAGTCGTGGCAGGAGCTACAGTGCCAAGAGAGAAAGGTGTCGAAGCAGCTGGAGCACTTGTGGTAGTTGTGAGAGCGAATGCAGGAGCTGCACTAGATGCTGGAGTTACTCGGGTGAGCCCAGGGGTTGCTGGAGTTGCTGGAGTCGCTGCAGGAGTCGAGGCTGCAAGGCCAAAGGTAAGTCCACCTGTTGCTGGTGTACTTCCACCTAGAGTGAACCCTGTGGTTGCTGGAGTTGATGTCGCAGGTGTTCCAAATGTCAGGGGCTGAGCAGTGCCTGCTATGCTTGCTGCAGGAGTCCCCAGGGTAAACTTCGTGGTGGCTGGAGTTGGCGTACTTTTAGGAACTGGAGAATACAAATTGGAAAACTCGATAGACTCGGGCTGAAGTAAAAACATTCGAGAGAAAAATGGTTTTTCAGATATTTTGACTCACCAAAGGACAGTCCAGTGTTTGGAGTTGATGTGCCACCGAAATTGAAACCGGACGCTGGAGCAGCTGGTGTACCAGTGAAAGCTGCTGGAGTTGCTCCAAAAGCTGGGGCTGGAGTATTAGTTAAACCAGTGGGGAAAATTCCCCCAGGTTTTGCTTGAGGTTGTGCTCCTGGTAGGGAGAAGGTCGTTGGAAGAGTTTTATTGGCATCTCCACCTCCAGTCATACCTGCCGTGAAACCTGAAGGTCAAATCAAATAGACGAATTCCATTCATTATTAACTTGTCTAAATTCTTTCCAAAAATTACAGACACTAAACTGGTGTTTACCTGTGGTTGCTGCTCCTGGAGTAGCTGATTGAGTGGTTGCAGGATTGAAGAAATTCATTTTTCGGCTTTACCGGTTTCTTAACCTCAAAAAAACATCACTCTAAACATCACTTAATAAAAATTTACTCGCTACAATTTTTGGCGAGTGAGTCGTCCGCAGTACTCGAATATAATCGGTCAATAGTGCTCAGGGAATTGACTAACGTAATCGATGAATCGGCGATATTTCGTTTTGGATTATACGTCGCGCTTTTTTCAACGTTTATATATATTTTTTGAGATCCCTGTCGTTTTGTTGAAATTTCTCGAAAACTTGCCTTAGTTCCGTAGCCGCCGCTGAGGAATTTTCCGGTTGAAACGCTGCCATTGGCGTTAGCAATATCCCCCAAAGAGAATTGACTAAAGTAGAGGCTCAGTTCTGGGGGTTTGAGTGACCCCAGCGGCATCGTAGTACTGCACCCCTAGAGAGGGCGGGCGCCACACGCTATGTTGGGGTGTCCATCAAGTCCACGGGGTGATTTTATTTTTTGCGGGATGAATGCTGTTCGTTTTTTATTTGTTTAACTGAAATTTAGCCGACTGTAGAACGAGCGGAAGGGGGAAGCCACATCTTGTGGAATTTCAATGAAAAAAATTATTCAATGCATTGAAGATATACCACTAATGAAATTATATTTCCAGAATGAGCGCGTTGCCTTAATGGTAACGTGCTTGCCTTCCACGCCGACGGCCCGGGTTCGATCCCGCCGTCAATCATTTTTTTTATTTTTAATAATTTCGATTTTATCTTTTTTTAATTGGTTAATCAATCTAAATATCGTTTAAACACTGAATTTTTGAAAAGCGGAAAGATATCCTGTGAAAACGACAAATTAACAAATTTTTAAAACGATTCTTTTGCAAAATATATACACCTAATGAAATTATATTATTGCAATGGTGCGTTATCCTAGCGGTAACGTGCTTGCCTATCACGCCGACGGCCCGGGTTCGATCCCGCCGTCAATCATTTTTTTTTTAAATAATTGCAATTTTTTCTTTTGTAACTGGCTAATAAATCGAATTAATGGTTAAAAACTGAATAGCTCCTCGATTGTCATGTTCCCCT